GGAGAGAGGTGGTGGGTGCTTTGGGAGGAACGGTTGGTGAAAGGGCTGGAGGGAGGCAGCATGTCTGGCCTTGTAGGAATAGGCCTTGGGTTACTGCTGGTAATCCTGCCTTCCTCTTGTGAGATTAGAGGAGGTCAGAACATGTGGCCTTCTTGTCGTTTTTGCAGATGTGATAACAATGGTTGGACGTTTCTTGAACAGTTAAAACTGTAAATAGAAAAGGTAATCTTTAGAGCTTTTTGACATCTTACATTATACAACTTTTCTGTCTATAAAGAAAGAAAGTATGTTGTAATGAAAAGACCATAGACACTAGAGCCAGATGGAACCATGTTCAAGTTGTAACTGTTAGCCTAGCAAAGAAAACTACTAACTCTAGTTGGGTAAGACACTTCACTGAGGTGTTGACTTTTTTCCTAACTTTCAAAGGCCAGTAGCTGAGAAAGAGCATTTCCAGTAAAAGGACCAGCTGACAGTAATGACATATTCTCAGTTGAGTTTAATTTTGCATGTATTCTGCACCTCCATCATTGGTCTCCAAACCTCTGTTTCTACAGTGCCTTCCTACTCTACCTTTTCTAACCAGCTCTTCCCCCTGAATGTTTTGGCTTGTTCTACCATTGTCTTTCCCTTCTCTGGAATTGCTTCTGAGCACTGATAATTGAATCTCAGAATAGGGTGGGGGGTGACTAAAAAAACTAAGTTATGGAAGAAGGAAAAAAGATTGTATATTGTAAACTTGTCCTTTGATTGAACATGAGCTGACTTTTTTTAATGTGAATCTTAGTATAGAACAACACTATTTTCCAGTAAGAAAGATAAGCTAGCTACGAGAAACTATAAATCAGTGAAGGAAATAATAAAACAGCACAACCATAGATTAATTCCCTAGTCCATTTGATCTACCTAAATATTCCTTTCTCAGTGATAGCTGTGACAATCAAGCAAAAGAAACCTTTTCATCTTCTTACTTGTTAAAGAATTATAAACAAAATATATAGGAAGACTATATATTAGACTGTTTCTGAATCATATTAAAGAAACTATGTTGTTGAGTACTGTGTTGCCTTGGCTATTTGGCAGATACAACCTTTAATAAGCTTTATATTTCTGCAGTAGTAGTTTCCAGATTCTTTCTTTTTTTAAAATTTTATTGTGATTTGAGTGAAAGGTTACAGAGCAAATTCATCTTCTATACAGCAGTTCACATACACTTTGTCTCATGACATTGACTGCAGTCTTCCATAATGTAACAGCTCTCCTCCCACTTCCTCCCCATAGCCGCCACTTCCCTGTGTCCTTCCCTTCCATGCCTTCCTTGTGCATACACAGCCATTCTATTCTCCCATGATTGATCTCTCCAAGAAGTGTATCTACCTAATATAAATGTTCAGCTCATATGCCAGTCTTTTGTTTGGCTGGAAGCCACAGGAGTGGGTTCAATTCCAGACTTGAAGGGCAACTAGGAGCCATAGTCTCAGGGGTTCCACCAGGCTCTATCAGACCAGCAGAACTGGTGCCTTTATTTTTATGATTTTGAGTTTTGTTCCACATTGTTTTCCCTCTCTGTCCAAGATCTCCTATATAGATCTTCCTCTGAGTGGTTGACAGTGGTAGCCAGGCACCATCTAGTTCTTCTGGTCTCATAGTCATATAGGCTGAGGGTCATATGGTCTACCAGTCCTTTGGATTGATTGTTTCCATGCATCTTTGGTTTTCTTCATTCTTCCTTGCTCTGGACAGAGACCCATCATTGCATCTAGATGGCTGCTTGCAAGCTTTTAAGACCCCAGTTGCTACTCGCCAAAGTAGGATGTGGAACAATGTTTTTGTGTCATATGTTACGCCAGTTGAGCTTGATGTACCTTGCAACCATGGTTCTGAGCCCACAGGTCCAACTACTCACTCCTTGTGGGTAGCTGGCTGTGGCCAAGAAGTGACTACAACCTTGTCCCTTGTCAGCTTTACTATATATCTGGAAATTCTTATAGAACATACAGATACACTTGTAAAAACATTGTCTGCCAACCCTATGCATGGTCCAGCAAAACTTAAGAATTTTTTTACAAACAAAAATATACACACAATTGTCAGTACATAAAGTCTATGTAAAGCAGACTTAGGCTGGTAGAAAACAAATGCTAAAAGGGCAAGGAAGCAGCATCTTCTAACTTCTCCAACCTCACAGAGGGGAAGGAGAGTCACCGTCAACAGCCTAAGGCTTATTCTTATGAGACCAATGATGCTGCTAGCCTCTAGCCTTTTTACCAATTCTGACACCAACCATCCCTCCCATGGCACTCACTGTTTCTCTGCTGGGTTCAATGATTTGTTGCAGTGGCCATACAACTCACAGACAATACTTAAAATTAGGGGGTTTATTAAGCAAGTATCAGGCTATAATTCAGGTTCAGGAATGTGCTCAGGATACATTTCTTCTATCAGGATAGTCTCCCCTCTGCTGTCCCCTCAGGTACGCCTCTCTGGCCCTTGGCCTCTCAACCTACCCTCTGTAAGTGTGTTATAAAGCTCTTTTAGCTCTGCCGATAGGTACACCTACATGTGCCCTAGTTGGCCAGGAAGCTTTCTGCCAAAAGGCACTCAGGAAAGCCTGCTACCCTGTCTTGTGCCTCTTGGTTCCACTGCTGCCATCTCAGCCAGGCATCTCTGCCAAGGAGGTCCAGCACTGGGATCTTGGGTCCAAGGACGCACTCCACTCCAACTCTAGCTCTTGTCTCTTTATGGCAGTGAGATCCCCTCTTCTGCCTTTAGGAGGGCTCACTTTAAGCCCAGAAGCAGAGCAAAAATAACCAGTCCCAACACTAGAGTTCTGCACACCTTATTTGCATGGTTCCACCCAGTAATCTAACAAACCAAACCAAACTCACTGCCGTCGAGTTGGATCTGACTCACAGGGACCCCTCCTTGGATTGCCAAGGCGGTATCTCTATGGATGTAGATTGCCCAGTCTTCCTAGTGAGGAGTGGCTGGTGGGTATGAACCACCAGCCTTCTAGTTAGCACTCACATGCCTTAGGCACTATACTACCAGAGCTTGGTGAGAGTTAAAAAGATAATGGCTGGAAAAGCCATGTAAGGTAATTCACTGCATCATAGCAGGAATGGGAGATCTGCGAGCCCTGCCCACTTGGCCTTTTGTCAGTGTCTAGGAGCCCTTGAGGCACTACTGCAAAGTACGTAGGTTGAAAACCACTGATCTGTAGTGTACATATATAGAATTTATAGTAGCTTAAATATATTTTTTGGTCATTTCTGGAGTTGAACAGTGGACTCTTAGCATTAAACTTCCAGTATGTCATTTCTATGAGGAAATCCTCAATCAACCCCCTTGCAAGTTCTGCTCACTGACATCGAGTCGGATCCAACTCATAGTGACCTCTCCTTGGGTTTCTGAGGTGGTATCACTACGGAAGTAGATTGCCCAAGATTCCTTCCAAGGAGTGACTGGTGGGTGGGTTAGAAACACCAGCCTTCTGGTTAGCAGTCATGTGCCTTAGGCACTATGCCACCAGAGCTCCTCCCAGCAGTCAAGAAATCAGACATCCTGTTGCAGTAGGCAAATTGCTGTAAAAGACCTCTTTAAAGTATTGAAGAGCAAAGATGTCACTTTGAAGACCTAACCCAAGCCATGGTATTGTCAGTCGCCTCATTTGTGTGTGAAAGCTGTACAGTTAATAAGGAAGACTTAAGAAGAGGTGATGGTTTTGAATTGTGCTGGTGAAGAATACTGAAAATACCATGGACTACCAGAAGAACAGACAAATCTGTCCGAGAAGAAGTGCAGCCAGAATGCTCCTTGGAAGCAAGAATGTCCAGACTTCGTCTCACGTACTTTGGTCATGATGTCAGAAGGGACCATTCCCTGGAGAAGGATATCCTGCTTGGTAAAGTTGGAGGGTCAGCAAGAAAAGGGGAAAACCCTCAACAAGATGGATTGACATGGTGGCTGTTACGATGGGCTCAGTTATAGCAAGGATTGTGAGGCTTGCTCAGGACTGGGTAGTGTTTCATTCTGTTATGCATAGGGTCACTGTGAGTTGGAGTCAACTCAATGGCACCTAATAACAACAACAGCGTGAGGAAATCGTATTTAACATCTTTCAACTTACAGTACCTTTCCTAATTTTAAAACCTGACATAAAGGAGAAATATTCCTGTAATGAGTTGTTAAAGTCATAATGAGTTTAGTTACCTATGGGATAAGAGAAAACCCTAAGGTTTTTCTGAAACTGTATTATCTGAATTTTTTTTTGTATATGATATATTAGAGTGATTTAAAATTATACATTATTTCATGAATTTCAGGTTCTACAAAGTATTTGCCTTTTAAAAAACTATTACTATTTGTCTAACATTGACTTTGAAATTGATTGTCTTTAATGAAGGCTTTGTTGAAAAGGCTTGAAGCTGTGAAGCCAACAGTTGGTATGAAACGCTCAGAACAACTGATGGACTATCATCGCAATATGGGTTATCTCAACTCAACTCCATCTTCAAGACGAGTGAGATCTACTCTTGGTCAATATAGCCCATTAAGTAAGTATATTCCAAATTATTTTGTACTTGTTTGTATTTTTGATCTTTTTATTTTCTTAGTGTAACTTACGTTCTTATGGTGGAGTTTAAAAAGGCTACCTTCCAGAATGCATTCTATCATTTTTTTCTTTTGGCAATTTGTAAGTTTGCTCATGTATCACTATTATTCCTATTATATACTCCTATGTTTTATGAGAAATAAAATATTTTTACAAGAAAAAGTTATATTTTAGTATCTTTAATGATACTTTTTTCATTCTGTCATTTTTCATTGGCATGCTTTATTATGTTCACTTAATTTCAGATTTTGTTTGCTGCTCATAATGACAGCACAGGAAGGAAATCAGTAAATAAAATAAGTGGAAATATCAGTAGTTTTTTTGGATAATACGAGAGGGACTTTTCATTTTAATAAATTTATTATGGGAAGAAACAGTTAATGCTAAAGTTTCTGAAACATTCCCCCTGGCCAATTAAGTATTATTGCTAATATCTTTAAGCTCTTACATATGTTTTTTTTCTTCCTCATTGGGAAAGTAAAACAAAAATTATCAATCTGTAGAATCATAAGTAATACTTATTCATTCTTGATAAGTGATCAGTTGCACACATAGCCAGTTATATACTCAAGACAATGTTGGAATGGAGTGAGTACTTTGTGTTAGGATATGTAGTAAAAGGCCTGCCATTTTACTTTGTAGAAGTCTGTGCTCTTGTTTCATGTGTGCCCTCTAGAATATAAAAAAAGAAGCCAATACTAAGAGAAAGTTGGAACAATTTATAATGTCACAACTTCCCACTACTCATACGAGTCTTAAACATGGAAATGACTAGTACTTCCATTTGTTCACTCTACAAACATCACTTCCTTGGTTTAGTGATTAGTGACTAAGATAGGGTTTTGTTCTAATAACCCATACTTAGTATTTTGCCTTGAATATAATAAATTAGTTGTTGAATATATGGGGAGCTCTGGTAGCGTAGTGCCTAAGGCACTTAACTGCTAACCAGAAGGCTGGTGGTTCAAACCCACCAGCCACTCCTCGGAAGGAAGATGGGGCAATCTACTTCTGTCGTGATACTGCCTCGGAAACCCAAGGAGAGGTCACTATGAGTCGGGTCTGTCTCGATGGCACATAACAACAAACAACAACATGAATGTATAAATGTATAAACAAATGTATAAATATAAAGTCGTGTTTGTTTTACATGAATCAAAAGAGAAGGTTTTAAAAGCATTTATTCCCACTCTAAATCTGTTGAATCAAAATTCTTACATTTTTAAGCTCCACAGGGAATTCTTAAGTGCATTCCAGCTTGAGAATTATTACATTAGACTATTAAAATGTGGAGTGAGGAAGAAAAGCCAGTCTGGACGTAAAATTAGGAGAAGTTTATCAGATGATTTATGTGTTTAGTTGAAATTATCCAAATTATTTCTTGTTCTCTGTGTATTTTCAGGAGGTGCTTCCAGGACATCGAGTGCTACCAGTGGTCTCAGTTGTAAGAGTGATCGACCTGTTTTTGATACATCCAGTGGCCTATTGCTAAGACCTAAGCCCTCTAATGTCCGTGCAGCTTGGTTATAAAACCATTTTACTTCATTGTTCATTCAGTTTTATTGACATGCTCTTGTATATTACTGTAATTCTCTGTGCAAATATCTATAATACTGTTTCAAGTAATTTAAGGTACATAACAGTGAGTTGTAATTTATTTTAATTCAATGGAAAATTGTTTTCAAAAACACAGTTTAACGTAAAATCAGTGTTTCCTTTGAGGATTTATTTATATCAGATGTATTTACATTTAATAGAGAAATGGTAGTATGCATGTATAGTTTCTCACCATACAAATTGATTCAGCTGTCTTGTTGACAGAACAGTGGTGATGCTTTCACTGCACATTGGACTAAAGACATTTTAGCTGTATAGTTCTCTCTTTTTTTTTTCTTTCATTTTTTTTGTAAGCTTTAAACTGTGAGCTTAAGACCTACATTTGACTTTGTTTTCTGTTTGCTTTAGAACTTAGGTAATGTGATTCATAACTTGATTGTAGATATACTTTTTTATGATGAAACAAATCTTGAAATTTGTTTTCATTGGTGGAACTGATTGAGATTTGATGAATAGATTGAGAGAAGCTTGAATTGGGGCTATTCGGATTCACCCAGAGGTATTTACTGCTTCTGAGTAAGTGCCTCGAGTTAAAAAATTTGTTTAACCATTCCATTCTTTGAAACTGTGACTATTAGAAAGTTCAGCCTAGAAGCTCCACTTTCATGTTTTCATACATTCTTGTAAAGTACCATTAATGATTCTAAGAAGAGAAATAGGTTTTAGACCTGCAGTCCAATAGCATTGTGAATATTTTGTTCAAGAACCAGATCAATTGCATTATAAGGAAAAACAAGTATTTGTTGAATGAGTAAAATAGCACCACCATTTTGAAAAGCCAAGAAGCAGATCCTGAGGTTTATCAGAACAGTGTTTTAAGTTACTCTGTTCGCTTATTGTGCTCCAATTTACTATTTATTATATTAAGATTTAGAATCAGAAATAAATAGTTTATTTTCAGAGTTTTAGAAATCTCAGCTACTATTTGTAGGGGTTGAAAAAGAAAACCAAAGTATGAATGATAAATAAGTGGTATATTTGTTAAGGTCACTATTTCAAATATCAGCTTTGTTTTAGTTCCTTGGTTGAATCTTGGATTATCATCTTTATCAGTCCCTCATATAAACTAGTAATCTTGATGGAATTGGTTATGGCAGGTAGTGTATAATATAATTAACTTTTGAAACTAGACTCTTTTTCTGTCAAACTATAGGTTTGTATCTCCTGTAACATAAGTAAGATAAGTATGTTATCTTATTCATGGTGGCTTGACTGTGTTGTCCTGTTTTCTGCTACTGGCCTTTTCAGCATGCCTTTAGAATGTATTGGAAGGTTTCCTATTAAATGCCAAATATTTCTTTTCTTAATATGAAATTTTGATCTGTAGCCACAATAAGATTTTTCTTTCAGTATTAACTCAAACTCTGTGTGAAATGTTGTACCATGTATGCGGACTTCCTGTACTTCTTAACACCTTTGGCAGTAAGCCAAACTGCATTTTATAAAACATCAACTCAGAATTTTTTGGTCTTGATTTATATTAATAGATTTTGTTTCAGATAGGGCATGTGAAGGGTGGAAACTATGGGATTAAATATTCCATGTGAACACAGCCTGGCTCTCAGATTTTTCTGCTTCTTTCTTTGAGCTGTAATATTTATTAGATGTTATTTGATGCTCTGCTGTGGTGAACAGATTTTTACATTATTTTGTGTTCTGCTTTGCATATAAGCTATAGCTGTATTCAGCCAAGGTTTTATTATTTTTTTTAACCTTTGCACTTTTAATGTTTTTGTAACAGCTTATCTGTAAAGAGACAAAAAATAATGCTGAATTTAAATTCAGCATTTGGACATCTGCCTAATGGTGAGATAGTCAGTTTTTTTAAATTGATTTTTAAGTTATTAGGGAAATAGACCTATATATATATATATATATATTTATAGAAATACATGTGGGACCTTTTGTGTTCATAATGGCATTAGTCTCTGAGTACATTTTGTATGATCTTTGCTGCCACATGTCAATATTAAACAGTAGTTTCATGAATAAAACTGTACTTTTGTTTTAGACACATACTTAATGCTTTCAGTTTTTACTGCTCTGAAAGGAAGGTCGTCTAAGTATTATTAATAACAGGGATTAACCTTGAAGTAAAAGTTGAGAAGAGCAATAATATTCATCTTTTTTGAACAATTTGCAATTCTTTTGTCATTGTTAATTATATAATGAATATAAACAAATTAAAATGTGATTCTTTTCTAATACAACTCAGAGTACTTTGAAGTTTTGGTTTTAGGCTACATGTTTTTGAAGGAATCATAAGTACACTCTTCATTTTGTAGAACATGAGAAGTATCATCCAGCCCTACTGTATATTTGATTCACTTGTATTAAAGTATTTGTGCTTTGAACACTTAAATCTATAATAAGACAGCATATTAGTCTGAGGTCTAGAATTCCTAGACCAAATTCTTGTTGAGAGTTATTTTCATCTGCCACATGTTAATATTGGTTCCTCTTTAATAAGATTCTATGAAAGATTTTGAACTATTAAAATTATTTCTGAAGGGATAGCTGTTATCTCATACTTCTACTTCCTTTTTTCAAACTCCAGAAAAAGTTACTTTCTAAATAAAGTTTTCTGGTTTTCTTATACATGTAGTGTAGTGGTTTTTTTTTTTTTCCAAAACCGGTTAAGTGTCCAAAGAATGTGGAAATTATCGAACAATATCACTGATACAAGTATAATCTTACTGAAGCTAATTCAAAAACGGTTGCAGCAGTATATTGATAGAGAACTTCCAGAAATGCAGGCTGGATTCAAAAGGGCATATGGAGCGAGGGATATCATAGCTGATATCAGATGGGTCTTGGCTCAATTCAGAGAATACCAGAAAGAAGTTTACTTGTGTTTTAGTGACTATCCAAAGGCATTTGATTGGGTCGATCATAACAAATAGTGGATAACATGAGAAGAATGGGAATACCAGAACAGTTCATTGTGCTCGTGAGGAACCTGTACATAGACCAGGAGGCTGTTGTTCGAACAGAACTAGGGGCTACTGCATGGTTTAAATCAGGAAGAGAGTGCATCAGAGTTGTATCCTTTCACCATACTCATTCCACTTGTATGCTGAGCAAATAATTGGAGAAGCTGCACGGCATGAAGAAGAATGTGGCGTCAGGATTGGTGGAAGGCACATTAACAACCTGAGATAGGCAGATGACACAGTTTGCTTGCTAAAGCTGAAGATGACTTGAAGCACTTACTGATGAAGATTAAAGACTACAGTCTGCAGTATAGATTACACCTCAATATAAAGAAAACAAAAATCCTCACAGCTGGACCTATAAGCAGCAACACAATAAAAGGAGAAAATAATGAAGTTGTGAAAGACTTCATATTTGGTTTTACAATCAGTGCCAGTAGAAGCAGCAGTCAAGACATCAAAAGATGCACATATGCATTGGCAAATCTGTTGCAAAAGACCTCTTTCAGGTGTTGAAGAGCAAAGATAGCTCCTGGAAGACTAAGATGCACCTAACCGAAGCCATGGTATGTTCAGTCACCTCATATGCATGTGAGAGCTGGACAATGAATGAAGAAGAGTGAAGAAGAGTTGATGCTTTTGAGTTGTGGTGTTGGCAAAGAATGCTGAAAGTACTGTGAACTGCTAAAACAACTAACAAATCTGTCCTGGAAGAAGTGCAGCCAGAATGCTCTGTGGAAGTGAGAATGGCCAGACTTTGTCTCACCTACTTTGGTCATGTTGTCAGAAGGAAGCATTGCCTGGAGAAGGATATTATGCTTGGTAAAGTGGAGGGTCAACAAAAAAGGGGAAGGCCCTCAATAAGGTGGATTGACACACTGGCTGCAGCGATGGGCTCAGGTATAGTAGGGATCATGAGGCTGGAACAGGAGCAGGCAGTGTTTCGTTCTGTTGTGCATAAGGTCTCTGAGTCGGAGATGACTCAAAAGGCACATAACAACAAGTGTCCAAAATGGATATATAAACAACTTTGAAAAAAGATGATTGTGATGAATATGTGCTTCTTACCTTCAGTTTCAAATAATGCACACTTGAGGATATCACACAATATGAAGTTGGAGATGTGGGTTTATTTTCATAATTTATAATGTTTAGTGTCTTAAATACAAAATAAATGATTGTATAGCATCTTAAAAAAATATGCTTAATGCTAGTGACTTTTTATGCATGAAGATTACCATATTTTTATACAAATAATGCACACGTTAAACATTTTTTGCCAATTGTGCAGCTTTCTTGGTGGTTATTTTCCTAGTTGTGTGGGTGTGCTATTTGCGAAAAAGCATGGTAGTAAGAAACTTAAAAATGTTCCTTTTAAATTTCCCAGCCCATAATAATATTTTTTAGTCATGAAGAACTACTTGGTAATGAAGAATGACATAATAGAATTAAAGTTACAGTTATGATTCTGTACCATTCTCTAAAATACATTGTCATATTCCCATTTAAACAATTAGAATAATAACTTATGTGTCTTGCAATACATAATTAGAATGAAGTCTGGAGGATCTTTGAAAGTATGGCATTTATACTCTGGGAAAGTGCTTAAAATTACGTTTTTCTTGATCATCTGATATGTTCTGTAAAATTGTTATGGGGCTACTGGACACTCTTGTAGCTTGAAGGAGTGTTTTTTAAAAATCATCTATCCACATCAACATTTAATGTGTTTTGTATACTATAGATGGTAAGAAATACTCTTTTAAATTTGCTGCTAAAACATTAACTTAGGAAACTTTTTTGATAGAGGTTTCATAAAAACAATGCTACTGGAATAAAACACTGCACAGCTCCTGTGGTAATATAGTTAAGCTCTCAACTACAAAGTTAAATGTGCTTACAGTGAATAGTATTACATTAGGGAAGAAATATTTCTTTGATTTTAAATTCTGAAATTAGCTATGTGCAAAAGCCTGGGAC